CTCTCGTATGTGAAAAGCAAGTGGTTTTCCTTCTTGTGATACCAGTTTGCATGGAAATTACACAGCCAAATGAAAAAATATAATTAATTCTGTTTAGAAGATTTTTCTGAAGAAATGAGCACATCAGCTTGATGGCAAACGTCTTCAGGAAACAGTATTTAGACATATTGCAGAATTATCATTAGTATGAAGTGAATGGTTGAGATAAATAAGATCTCTGGGGATAGCTACATTTTCAAACAAAAAATTGAGACATTATTTGAATTTCTTTGAACCAGGGAGAACATTAGTTAATGTTGATAAAGCTCATTGGCATTTAGAGAAAAAACATGCAATTTAAAAAGTCAAGAACCCTCCTTTTATTCCAATTCAAAGCTCAGCTTGTATTATAGAACTGAAAATTGTACTGTGAAAAAAATAATTATCTCTTAATTTTTATTTATTAACCAACAGGAAAAAAGACAGTAGTTTATCATGTCACAATTGCGAGAATGTTTATTCATTAATCTAACTGACAAATAACAGTCAATTTTTACCTAGTAAAATATACATTCCAGTCAAGACATTGCTATTCTTATGGATAGCGTTTAAAAAAGTGCTTTTTGGGACTGTTGATAATGGAGGTTGCTTTATTGCTGGTACTGTAAGAGTTTTTAATTATATCCAGGATTATTTAATGTATATTAAAAAGTGAAAAGTAGGAGCAGCCTCAGGTTTATGGTTCAGACAAGAAAGAAGAGTGGAATTTATAATACACGTGAAAGGAGCCTTAGTAATATGTGCTTGACTTCCTTAAGCAACTTATTTTGTGCTTTTTGTGAGCTGTTTATAATTTCTTTTCAGCCAGAATCAATGGCATTTAGTTCGAAATTTTGCATATAATCCTGCCTTGTGAAAGCAGATGTAGTTTTGCAATTAAGTTTAATATCAGCAGATAAAACTCGGACAGCCTCATAGGCAAGAAATCCATTATGCAAAGTTTTTAAAAAGACAATCTGCTGAAAATTAAAATTCACTGTAAAATGTAGTAAAATGTCAAGAAGATTGACATTAAAGTATTATTGGGGATTAATGATTCAAATATATTTAAGTTCATTGGAAATAGAAGTATCCACTTTGGACTGAGGCATGTGGATAGAAGAACATTAATTGCATGCATAAAACAGTCATTTTATGTAAGGTAGTTAAATTGAATAATTCCAGTCTTTCTCCATAAAATAAGAAAAATTATAGAGGATCTGAATGAATCTGATCTCAAAAAAAATGCTCTCAATGATAATGTCAGACAGACAGACATGTACATGTTTATATATAAACATGTGTATATATAATTTACACTTATCAATATTTAGTCGAATTCACTTTTAAAGATCATCACTATAATAAACTCTGATTGCTCTTTGCAGGGTCTTAGTAGCCCTCTCATTTTCCCTTGCAAAGCAGAGGCAAACGTGGGAGAACGGGCCCTGAAGCCAGGAGGATCTGGGAAGCCTCTGCCTGATGTGGATGGAGACTGCTCAGTTTCTCCAGGCAGCTCGTTCTACTACTTCAATGTTTTTAAATCTCTTGCAGTGACTTATGTCTATTACTCCTTACCCTATGGATAGAGAACACGGAGAGTGTATTCATTCCTATTGGTGACAATCTCCCATGTTTTAAGATTATTCTATCTGTGAGGGAATTCTTCAGTAGACTTAAGTGATTGTGATCCTTTCAGTCATTTCTCAGATGATGTTTTGTGGGCTCTCTGTTTTTTTAGTTGCTCTTCCTTTTGTGCAGTATGCAAAAAGTAGGCTCAAGTCTCCAGCTGAGACCACTGCTGATGAGTAGAGCAGAAGGCTACTTCATTTTACTTCCAGATAGTGCTCCTGTTTACTTATGTCCTGTAAAATACGTGTCTTTTCTACAGTGGTGTGACATGTTGATCTGTGCTTTATTGTGTAATTCACTGTGTACCCCAGGTTCTATCCTGAAGCTCTCCTACTAGGCAGTCGCTTCTAGCCTCTTGTATAGTTGATGATTTCTGCGGTCCGTTCAGAACTCCATGTTTGTCTTTATTGAATGTTTTTTTTCCAAACCGCTACTTCATTTTTTCAAGGTTGCTTTAAATTGTAATGGGACCTTTGCAGCTTCTCTTGGCTTGTGATTTGCAAATTATATTTGGAATAGACTCCTGCAGATTGATTCATATCCTTGATCCAAGACTCCTCGATTCATATCCTAAGTTTGATAATGAGGCATTGATAAGTATTAAGCCAGGCTTACCAACCACTTATGGATCTGCTTAGTGCAGTTTTAGCTTATGGTTTTTAAGCTTTCTTTATGACAAATGCTGTGAGACAGTGCTGTGTTCTTGCAGCATGTGTGACATCTAATAATTCTCCCTTCCCATGAGGCTTGTTGTCCTGTCAAGGAGGAATTTAGGTTGATTTGACATGCTGTATTCTTGTTAAATCTCTGTTCTACTACTGATGTTCTTATCTTGGTTGTATCCACAAATTATGTGTCTTTGTAATTGTTGAGCAAATAGTTTTATCTGGGAACAGAAGACAGTGATTAGTCTGTAGTCCTCTGACTAGAATCCTCCTCCTCTATTTCTCTTTTTTTTTTTTCCTTTTCTTTTCTCTGCTTAAGAATAGGTATAGAAATACCATTACAGTCCTCTGGATCTTACTTATCCTCAAAACAGCTAGGAAAAGACAAAAGTTAACCATTTCAGAATTTTATTGCATAGTTATATTTTTTTTTCATTTGTTCTGAAAACATAAAAAGTGGTTTTTTGTATATAAAACTGTATATTATCTGTATGGTTTAGTTGTTGCATTTGGAAAATATCTGTAAAGATGTTTTCCATATTATAAATGATACCAAGCATTAGCAAAAAAAGATATTAAGTTATCATTTGAGTAAATTACAATATAACATGTTCTAAAATGAAGTGGTGTTTGCTTAACTTGGCTGTAACGTTAAGCATTTTGTTACTGTAAGGGAAGCTGTCTTTTTGTTCTCTACAGAATTACTTTTCCTCAGTAATTACAAGGAGCAAGGTGCTACTGTTGATCACACTCTAATTTTATGACAGCGTATGGTGAAAATTTGATGTCATTTATCAAATGTACTCATTTTCTGCTTGTCACTGATAGTGTATATGTGTAACAGTGTAACTGATACTCTTTTTCATGTAGAAAACCCTGTTTAGTCATTTTCATTACATGTTTCTACTCCTTGAATTTAATTTATAATTAAACAGTCAGTAGTGTTTAGGCATCTAGTACACTAACCTGCTCAGTAGGCACGAAGTGGAAATTATCTCCCTAAAGACTTCTTAAAGTTGAAGGATTTTGATTATTGATACTGTGTAAATTTACAGCATCACTGTATTGCAAGCAAAGACCTTGATTTTGGGTTTTATGGAAAAATGTTGTGCCCTAATAAATCAAGATGAGCATAAAATTTGTCTAAAACACTGCCAATAATATAGGTGAATCAATCTCATGTTGGTGATTTCTAGAGTAAGGCATCTTGAAGTATTTAATGTTTTCTGTTTACAGACATTTTCCATGTCAGGTATGTATTTTTCACAAATTTGGAAAATGTGTTCCAGGAAAATCTGTACCAGACAAATCTGTTTGGCAAATTAGTTCTTTATAGATGCTTTATTTTGTAACTACCTCTTACCTACAAATTTTCACATCAGCATTTGTGTGTTACTCTTAAATAAATAAATTAATAAATAAATAAAAGGTTGGTAGGTTGGTTCCTTATGGAAGAGAACTGCAGCTCTACATAGCAGAATACAAGTTTGTGCTTAAGTAGGTGGCAAAAGAGTGAGTTTGGATTTGATCTTTATCTCCCTCTAGTGAACATGCATTTTCTTATATACTTTTACCAGTGATGCCTGGAAGTTGTGTTGTCATGAGTGCATATGCTATTATATATCTCTTCTGGATTTCTGATAGAAATGTGAGAAGTGTAATGTTTAAATCTATTTCTGCATTGAACAAAGGTTTCATTTCTGCTTTATAAGGCAAAAAAGCTCATGTTATTTGAATCTTTGGACAGTCGGTGTAAGTCCAGTGAACTGAGTTATTTATAATTGCATATGCTAGGAAGTCTTAATGTTGGGTGTATTGGTTTCTTTAACATCAGAATAGAGGTGAACAATTTTCACATTAGTGTTTAAACCTGATTGAACTCAAACGATTTTACTCTTAATTAACATTTAAACCTGGTTAAACACAAAAGAATTTAACTAATTTGAATTCTGAAAATTAGTTTATGAATTTCTAGAGTACCCTGTAGTCATGGCAATACTTGGAGCAAATCTCCTTATTTACTGTAAACGTATGCTTCCATGTTGATGATTTCTCAAAAGACTTAAACTTTTTCATTCTTTATGCAAATGGACAGTGATCTTTTTAAAATAAATTGTTATGTATAGAAGAGAATTTGGATCTCAACATTTCACTCATTCTTTTAATTTTGAAGGTGCTGTGTTACAAATTTTGCAGTGGATCTGCGTTCATGCTTATCTCAGACTAATTGTAGGATTATATTGGTAGTGCAGTAGAAAGTACTGTATTTATGCTTTCACTTGAAACTGTAAATGGTTTTGGTAGAGCCTACCTAGACATTTCAGTGTAATTCTATGGATTTACTTTCTTATAGCTTAAAACCAGTTTCTTACCTCAGTAAGTCTTTAAATGCTTTTAGGGAAATGGTGTTCTGTCCTTTAAACAAGCAATTAAAATGATCTCTCCGATTGGTTTCCAGCTTCTTCAGGATATTTGTTAGACACTTTTCTGTAACTGTATATACCTACCAATTTTAAAGTAGTCGTGGAGAAAGAAAACTTGGCACTATGTCCTTGCAGGCAAGTCACTTCTCTGTGCTTGGTCTCACTCAGACTTTCTCAGGTACAACAAATTCTGCACTCCCCTTCTGGATCCCTACAAAAAAAGTCTTCCTTTCTGTCACTCACAAGATTTTCCTTTTTGTAGGACTTCTTTTGCTGGGCATCTGGCAGGGATTCTTGTTGGATTGATGTACACTATGGGACCTCTGAAAAAGATCATGAAAGCCTGTGCAGGTATATAGTTTTGTTCAATTTGTAAAATCTGCATAAGAGACACTTTTATTTTTAAAATTCAGTAGGTCTTGCATATAGAAATTCAAGCCATTCCAGAAAGTTTTTAGGCATTTAAAGATATGCTGATGATTAAAATGAAGGCAGAAGAAATAAAGCAACTTTTTTTTCTTAAATATGGATGATAAGAATCAGTAAATGTGTCTTTCAGATATTTTTGCTTAGAGGCATACCTTTTACCTTTGTTTTTAAATGTTTTGTTTAGAGTAAACTGTTTCACATAAGATGTCAATGAAAATGTCACTTTAAATGAAGTGTGGTGAAGCCATAAAAACATGCCAGAACGATATGTTTCCGTGTTGATTTCTGCTACTTGTGTTCATTCTAGAGGAAGTTTGAAAAAGGAGATGGCATGCTTGAGATATTGTTACTGGAATTCTGAAGGTTTCCACCAATGTGTTACTACAGCTTTTCATATTGTAGTAATGCTTATTTTTAAAAGATCATATCTTTAGACATCTTTAGTCTAACAATTGTTTTAAATGCAGCCCTGTAAACTTTTATAGGAACACTCCCATAAATTTCGGTGTTTTAATTGGAAGTCTAAGCCGTGTCACAACAGCTGTACTGAGGTTGGTTGTCAGAATATTTGTTTTTTATGTCTGATTACTTACTATGTTGTGTACTTTATTCATGACTGTGCCACCAAGTTGACCAAGGAAATGGTGTTTGCATAGTGGGAAGTTACTTCAGATGTGTATGCTTTTCACAGGAGGTGTTATTGCGGTTTGGTGATGCAGTCTGTAAGTCATACATGCTTAGCAGCTTTAAGTGGAAAAATAGAGACTGAAGCGTCAAATTTCGCACCCCACTGGGGTGAACAGACATTAAGTGTCGCGGTAGTTAAATGTTTGTATTGCATGTTTCTGTGGCATGAGGCACTATCTGATGACTATCAGGACGGTCAAGCATCGGATCACGCTGCCTTGGGAGGTTCACATTGTCCATCCTTGGATGTTTTCAAGACTTGACAAGATAAAGCCCTGACTGAGTAACCTGGCTGATCTCTTAGCTAACCCTGTTCTGAGTGGGACTTGGGCTAGGGACCTTCTGAGGTCCCTTCCAAACTGAATTATTCTAGGATTCTGTGATAAAACCCATGGTACTGCTAGTGAAACATGCTATGGAGATCCTGCTGCTGTGAAGGTTTCTGTGTGACTAAGACCTGAAGAAAAGTTCTTTTTCTCCCATGTAGCAGAGTAGAAACGGTGCAGTGTTACTCCAGTCCTCAGTTTTCTGTGCGTTAACCCATTTTTACCATTGCACAGTCTCAGTGCAGAAAATACTCGTTTTGAGTTCTGGACGACATTTGTTAGGTTGGTTTGCATTTTTCTGGTCTACATGGATATGTTACTTAAACATGGCACGCTACTATAAAATCTGGGACAACATACAAGCTTACCAATACTATGTTGTCTCACTGATGCAAAAAAAATTCATAGATAACTTGTGGTTTCGTATTTGTATCTTGTGAAACAGAGAGTACTTGAAATTTTTATTTTTCTGTTTTATAAAGACAGACAATGTGATCATTTTATTCTAATTGTACATGCATTATTCTTACATTTAGGTGGTGTTTCTTCATTCACTGACCCTGCCAGGCCAAGAGACTACTATTCAGGTAAGGACTCTCACCCCCTTACCTAAAAACTTATTCCAGCTTTAAAAATAGGGACATAATTTTTGCTAGTGATAGGAAACCTATAAAGAAGCTAGTTAAATGGAAACTTATATAATATATAAAATATTCTGCACAGATGTATACTCACTAAACTTATTACTTCTCTGGCCATATCTCACCTTGCGTTTTTAGGGAACTGTGTGGATGTATTTCGTACAAGATGCTTTACACCTCAAATTAAGGTCATGACTTCATAAAAGGCTACCCTTGGGAAATACCATCCCTTCTGCAGAAGGTGTAGCAGGGTGAAATTGTGTCTACTGAAAGCAGCCCTTTGAACTTGGTAAATCTGCTCTGATCTGACAAATTTATCTCTTCTGTTCTAGGATGGTTTTTTTTTCTTCCCCTCCAACAAGGAACTTCTTCCTTTGAACACTTTTTGTAAATCAAGTAATTTACATGCAAAAAGCCCACTCCTCACCAGAATAAATTGAAGCTATCTTCACAGTATATAGATGAATAGTTGAAATACTGGCACGCTTCCAATGTAACACATTTGGTTCACTTCTCGTGCAGAAATTGAGTCATTATATGTGGAGTGTATAGAAATAATAGGTGAAGGCCTTGTCTGGGAGGGACGGAAGAGGAGCCAGCTGTGTGAAGGGCTATGTGTTGGATCAAAGCTAGGAGATGCGTAGTGTATCTTGGGAGATATCTCCTACAGTGATTTATACTCTTCCTTAGGCATCTGCTGTAAGAACAGGATAAATATGTAGTGATAACTCCTTCAAATATCTGCCAGTGTGCAGTGGCTTGTGGCTTAAAGATGTTCTCAGCAGAAAGTTTTATGAGGGAATTTTGTCTTTAATAGCTCGTGATAGATTCTTCTTCCATGAATTTGTCGAAAGCTCTTTGAAATGCCATGAGTTCTTTTTAACACCTATAACATCACAGAAGAAGAAATTCACAGTTTACTTCCCAGTGTAGAATCTGTCATTTTTGTTTGTTTTGAACCTGCTAGCTGCTAATTTCATCTGATGCACATTAATTCTTCTCTGGGAAGGAAAACCAAACCTTCATTCTTTATTTACTTTCTTTGTATTCTTTATGGTTTTTTAGACTTCAGTTCTATGCTCGCCATAGTTATCTTTTCTTTCTGTTTGGAAAGTTGTAGTCTATGTGGTTGCTTCTATGAAAACTATATTATGTGTTTGATCGTTCTTACTGTTTGTTGATATTTAGTCATGCAGGATTTTAAAATTGTTTTTAGTCTTTTATAAGTGAAATGTGCTACTCTGAGTCAAGGTTGTTGCTGCTTTTATTCTCCATGATGAATTTTGTCTTCCATGATCTACCTCCAATTTTATTATTACATTAAATAATTCCTACTGGTGAAATTATGTACCCTTGAATATTTTTGAAGCTTCTGTTTTGTAATTCCTAACCAAAACATCTTAACCTACTTTCCTTACCAACAGCAACAAGGATTGTTGTAACTTAAAAGTATATTTACCCAGGATTTCCGTTATTCCAGTTCTCAAGTCAAGAAACACTTGATCTAAAGGCCAGTAAAGAAATAAAACAGAAGTAATATTGTGAAATGAACTAAGATGTGAACATAGACTAGGTAGTGAGCATAAGCTACGTGTTTCCATGGCTGGCAGTCTCAGCCCAGTTAAAGATGTTCACCTGGCTACAGGTACTGTTCAGTCCACCGGGACCTGAGTCTGCTGCTTGCATTGTTCTGTAGTCCACATTCATAGAGATTAAATCTTCCTTCAGTATTCTGGTATAGCAGGGTGGGTGGAAACTCTAAAGATTTGTATCAGAAAAAGGTACTTTAATGGCTAATGAAGATAAGAATTTGTATTTGATGTTTAAACTTTATAATCTGTTGCAGCCACACTGCACAAACACCAGCTTCTTGGAGCTTGGGTGGGTGTATAAGACCACCCTTGCGGAAGCAGATCAGACTCCTAATAGCCTGTTACTTTTTCTTTTCTAGCTTTTCCTAAACAGGGAAAAGGGAAGAGATTTCATGTAACATATCTAGCATGATGGGGACTACATAACACCTGAGGAGAAAAACTTTAGCATGCTGTCAACACAGAAGTCGGGGGGTTTTTATGTGTCTTGGGCAATCCCTGAGGTAGCCGTGCTGCTGCTTTGAAGTCTTGTGGGCAAAAGGGAGAGAAAGGAGAGAGTTAACTTGAATTATCCTGTCTTCCAAACTTGGCTTTAGATATAACTACATTTTGGTGGGGTTTTTTTGTGGTACTAAATTAATTAGAATGACTTACAACTGCGATTTAAAAAATATACATAGTTGTTGTGTTCATTCCTTTTGTGTATAGTTCGTAATTGTCTTTCATCCTATTCGCAGAAGTCTTTGTGGAAGACTTAACCTTCTGCTTGGTGTATGATATGTTTAATAAATTTGACTATCTGTGAATTAAGAAAACTCTGTAGTGTCATAGGTTAATGATGCATATACAGTGCATCCTTACCTTGATGAATTTTTTTATTTTCTGGTAGTGCTGATTTATTACTATCTGCCTTTAAATACTAATTTAAATAGAAAAATAGATGAAGTTATGATCAGAACAGATTTTATGAAACAGGACAAGGAAACAGCTTTTGAAGAAAAAATATTTTAAATGTAGTTTTAACACATTTAGTATTTAATAACTGAGTTAGATTTTCTCTAAATGCAGTGCATGAATAAAATATTAGGATATCTATTTTGATCAATAGGAATACTTTGAACATGTCAATGTTACTGAACTGTGTCTTCTTTTAAAATAAGATTACAGCTTTCTCAGCACTTAGAACTTGATGACACTGTAAAACATCAAACATACAAAATTTACAGTAATAGAAAAAAACTAATATATGACATCCTTTTTCTTTCATCAGATAATTTCATGCTTTTAGTACCAGAATTTTTATAGTCTTCATGCATGCAGTTTAGAAGCCTCCAGAAAATAAATTTATAGCTGAGAAAATGATTATTCCGATTAATATAATGCAGAGGGGAATGAGGGGAATACATGAAGATTGCATCCAAAGTGTGTATATATAACAGCTAAATGGTATCCTGCAGTTAGTTTTATTTTTCTGCAGAATTATATCTCTTAAATGTAGCCAGTATGTCTTAAAAGCTTTTAAAGTTTGTTAAAAATATAACTGTAATTCATATAGATTAAAAAATAAAAATGGTATTTTCTAACCAGAGGAGTTGCTGATCACTTGAGAAATGGTAGAATCTCAGGTTACTGGAGGATAATACGAAGTGTTCACTGCAGATGTGTGAAAATTATTCTGATGTCAGTTGTATGTTCCAAAAAAGATGAATTTGCAAATGGACAGAATTATGTTTTTTCCTCTGTATGTATAATGCATATATGTATACATACGTCTGTGTGCACATACACATGCATATGAAATATAAGTAGGTATATTTGCATAATACACACAGAAAGAATATATATACTCCTGTACAGAGTAGTGTGCAGTCACTCTGTTCAATTTTTCCTGCTTTTCCTATGGAACTTTTAAGATGGGGCATTACTCTGTTCTTTGTCTTAAGGAACTTCCGGTGAACCAGAGCTGGTGAAAAATGTCTTTCAATTTTTGTGTGAAACATCTTAATAATGGCGGTTCTATGACATTTATAACAATTATAAAAAACCTGAGATGCTTGATCGTCTTTTATCTGTTGTTTTTCTCTCTCCTATTAGCATAGTCTGGCTTTGTAAATTAGGCATTGATTCATGGCATATATTGTATAAGTAATTGAATCCTCATAATTTTTTTCTCTCCCAAATTAAACGTTTGTGGAAGAAAGATAGCAGAAAGATAATGTCTCATTTCATACTTTCCTACTGAGTAGCAGCAGTTTATTTTCCTTATTTTGTATTCATTTTACAGAGTATTATGGCTATCCAGGTTATCAATATGGAACACCAAGGAGCTATTATGATTATACAGGTGGACTTACTGAAGAAGAACAGCTTGAAAGGGCAGTGCTAAACAGTCTTAATGAAAGAGGTAGGAATTGTATTGCATTCTATAGTTTACATTATGATTCATACTGAATAAGGGAGTGGAGGTGGGGTAAGATCTATTGCTCATTATTTCTTTTCAGTATTTTGAACATATCTTCAGAAACAGATGACAGTTTCCTGGAACAAGTTTTAGAGAATGCAGTGTGGGGCTGCAGTATGATTCTCTTAGTATAATTGCTTTTAATCATAGTTGCTTACTGTTTGATTACGTTGCTACTACTATAGTAAAAGAAATGGTTTTAGAACAAAAAACAGTTAAGTAAACTAAGTTGCCAAGCTAGAAAAAGAATCTTACAATACTATAAAAAGTAGTATGAAGTGGTATAATAGAAGAATTGATGTTGCCAGTATATAAACTTTGTGTTTTTATACAAATTGAAGTCACAAGCAATGTACTGAATTCTTACGCTTCACACTGTCCTTTTCTACCTTAAATGAAGTTTATATTATAGCTAGCTGAAAGATCTAAAAAAAAAAAATACATAGAACTGTTTAGAAATAAAAAAGTGTGTATTTTTAACTGAAATTTGTTAGTTACATTGATATATATTTTTTTATAATGCAAGTGAAATCGAGGGCAAGAATACTTTGTAGAATCTATTTCTCAGCTTCTGAAAAGTTCAAGGCTTGAGGGAAAGTCGGTTTGATAGGACTGACAGCACATTATTAGAGCAACACAAGTAAAACATCACACAGTTATGCAAAATTTTTATATTGAAGTGATAAAGGGCATAAGTGAACATAGTATATGTTGTCTGGTGTTGAGATAGTTTTTAATATTAAACATTGCTTCCTCTTTAATCTGTTGCATATCAATGCAGACTCTTTTGGGAATTCCGCAAAGGCTTTAGGTGCTCCTTAAGACATCTTTCAGATTTCTTAACTTTTAAATTTGGTGAAGCTGTAACATGTAATCTTAACAAAAATAACCTGACTGAATATCTTATCAATGTCATTTTCCTTTTTCGTAATCTTAGTATTCTATCTCCCTGGGTGCAAGGAAGCATTCATTAGGAAAAAGATACGGAATCCTCTACTTGTAACTGCAACCCTTAAAATTCAGAGCACCATTCATAGATGTCTGCTCAGAAAATTAATTTACACTACTGTGTTACGGCTGTCAGAGAAATACCAGGCAAAAAAATGAATATCGTGACAAATCATCATCACTTTTACTTTCACACCTTCTGTGATTCTCTTTTTTTATTACGAAGAACATGTTTTATATGGAAGATGGTTTTGAAAAAGGCAGCAGATGAGGCAAGATTGTGATAAGAAAAGGCTGTATTGGGTTTGCGTGGCAAGGTTTTAGTAGCAAGGGGCTACAGGAGTGGTTTCTGTGAGAAGCTACTGGAAGCTTCCCCTGTGTCCCACAGAGCCAATGCCAGCCAGCTCCAAGAGGGACCTCCTGCTGGCCAAGGTCAAGCCAGTCAGCATGGTGGTAGTGCCTCTGTGATAACATGTTTAAGAAGGAGGAAAAAGTTGCTGTGCAACTGCAACTGCAGCCAGGGAGAGGAGTGAGAATATGTGAGAGAAACAACTCTGCAAACATCAAAGTCAGTGAAGGAGGAGGGGGAGGAGGTGCTCCAGGCACCAGAGCAGAGATTCCCCTACAACCCATGGTGAGAACCATGGTGAAGCAGGCTGTCCCTCTGCAGCCCAAGGAGATTAATGGTGGTGCAGATATCCACCTGCAGCCCATGGAGGACTGCACACCTCTCCCCTTGTCCTGATCTCGACCCATGAGCCTTTCGTCATATTTTCTCTCCCCCATTGAGTTGAGGCGGGGTAGTGATAGAGTGGCTTTGGTGGGCACCTGGTGTCCTGCCAGGGTCAACCCACTACAAAGGCTTTTCCAATTTGAAAAATTCCTTAACCTATTTTTTAAAGTAAATACAGCTTTTTGCTTTATTGAGTTTGCATCTATCGTGAGAGTCACCTGGGAGGCAGAAGTGCAGACTTTTAGGGAAATTAGGGGGGTTTTAAGTGATTTTTTTTTTCCTAGTTATCTTCATTTTTTTGTTCACCTTTGTTCTTTAAGCGTGGTTCTGTCTAACTTTCTCCACCACTGTGAAGCTAGAAACTTTTTTAAAAAATAATTTTCTACAGCAAGATTATTGCTGTAATATGTTTGTTCTAGAAATTATTGCAATCTGAGCAGTCACATTTCAAACTGTACTGAAAACCGGAGAAGACAGTAAGAATCTTAGCTTTCAAATAAATCAATAAAATAGCATTTAGTCCATCTGGTTTGTCGGCAGAACACAGTGAATTAGTCACTGTTCATGCTGTCTTAGGAATTTTAAAAAATTAACAAAGTCATAGCAATATGTCAACCTATGTAAGTACTAGACTTTGGGAAGGAATGGGTCTAAAATGAGCTTTCTTGTAATGGATACTTCTTGTTTTACTGTCGTTTTTACATGACATTCTATGTAATTTTTAACATTGAGCTTGATAGAGAAATCCGTCAAAGCTTTTAATGTTATGGATTTTGAGATGTTATTTGCAAGAATGAGCCATGTTTATGGTTTTTTTTTTAATTATCAAGGAAATGTAGTACAAATAACAATGACAAAATTACAATAATAAAAGTATCTAGATAGTATACACCTTAAAGGCTTTCATGTATCAGTGTGAAATATCCACAGCTTTCATTTGTAGCCTTAAATAGTCTACATCACTATAGGTAAGTGAGTATTTTTTTGTCTGCTTGTTGTTTCTGGACAAAGATAAGTTTTCAGCTGTAAGAAGAAATGTATTCTTATTTGGAGAATGCCCTTTGATGAAAAATGAGATAGAATTTAAAATAGCATCTCTAACTAAGTGTATCTCACTGATAGATAACTGTAGCACACCAAGTCACATTTTTAACTTCGTTTTGAGGCAGCAGCATTTCTTAAGGCTATGGTAGTGTCTGTTTTCAGTGCTAGTTATAGTTTTTAAGCCTTACAGATAAGTGAAGCAGGGAAATGTATCATTGTATATTGTTTCCAATATAGTATGGTGTGATCAAATATTTATATAGATGATGTTTTCAATGATTTCACAGGAGTGCTCTAATTTTGCACTTCTTTCTCCTACCTGCTGGAGCACTTCAGTTTGGAAAAGCGAGACTTTAGAGCTGAACTCTTAAAATATTTCCTTAAACAAGCTGCTTAAAGGTTAAGCTTGCCTATAGGCAGATGCCTTATTTCACAGAGGCAAAGGTAATATAAAGCATGTCATTGATCATACCTGTTTTAGTGATGCAAAGGATGAGATGAAATTTACTGTGATAACGAGCAATTAGGATATTCTTCCCTGTCAGTTAGTTTGAAAAATAGTTAGCTTGAATGAGCACTGTGGTTTGAATGCAATACATTTTTTCCTTAAGCATGACATTCACAGTTGCTTGCAATTACATGGATGATGAAACAGGTACTTAACATGACTAAAGAATTTGAAATAGATGTAAAAACAGGTAGCACAATCAAAATTTAGGGCTCTCTTTCCTTATTAATCTTTCCCCCCTGCCCAACGATGACATTTAAACCATCACAGTTGCTCTGTAGCTTGGAAAAAAAAAGAATTGCCGTAACGTTGATTAATTTTTATTCCCCCCTGCCTGCCCTTAGTTGGACAAATGCATTTATTAGAGTTTTTAGACCACAAAATGTACCTTTGCAGATTTGGAATGTTGATCCATTCTTACAGATTACAGCATTGGTATCTGACTAAGCTATTAAAAGAATCAGTGGCATAGTATAGAATTTCCTGGTATCAGTTGTTGACAACTGAAAACTGGTTTGTATTAAGGTGTGCATCGAATTTGAGCTCAGTAGTTACTCTTCTATAATCCCATATATGAGTTGTCTAAACCCACCGTAAAGGTACTGCGTTTCTGCTTATTTTACATTTTTTTTTCCTGAACTGCAATTCTATGTTTATCCTATATCCTGAAAATTTCTTAAATAATAATTAGTATCTAATGCAACAAAAGAAATTACTAGACTTGTTTATGGGATTTATGTAGGCGTCAGGTTTAAGGCTATCAGACTGTCATAATTGTGATAAATGAGTGAGTCCCAAACAGAACTCCAATTCAAGTTTACAATTTATTAGGCGAATAAAAGCAAGCAAACAGCGCTGGGTGCGCCGGGAGTCTCCGCTCCACCAAGACGCACACCATGTAGTTCTTATTTCTGGTTTATATTCCTTTTACTAATACATATTCTCAATTATTTCCTAGAAAAAGGTGGTCTTATTACAATGGGCTCAGAGAAGTTATCTCCATAGTCTCCACCCCTAACCCTCCCAGTTGCGCGTGCGCAGTGTCTCCTGGTGGTCGTGAGTAGGGGTCTCAGGGATGAAGGCTGTATGTCTTCCTCGTGAGGACTTTTTCACCTCCCCAGAAAACTAGCGAAGTCATCAGAATTGTCTTTGTTCTCCATCTTGGCTCCTGCTTATCTTACACAAGGGTTATGCAACTTACAGATACATGACTTAAGCAAGCTAACTTAAAAGTGGTTAAGCGAGATTAGAGATTAAGCGCATACAGGCCCCTAGGCCCCTCTTGTCTAACACCTTGCAACTGGCAGTAAAGCAAAAGAAGAAGAAAGAGAAAAAGAAAAAAAAAACCCAAAATGTTAGGTGGCTTTTGCAAGAAGCGAGAGCTATATACATACCATTCTGCTTTCTCTAGGGCTATGGTTATACAAGAACAAACAGAATGGTTAAAGGTTACATATACAAAAAGGTCATATTTTACTATGTGACCCTAACATTGTTTTATATTGATACGTATCAGGTGAACCCATTTCACAATTAGGGCCCCTGGTTAGCAGCATCATGAGGCATTTCGCAGGTCTACGTTTTTGCATTTCACAGAGATCTTAAACTAAGACAATCACTTATCTTGAATAAGCACACCCTACTCCTCACCACCTATCCGTCTATTGTCCCATATTGACAGGAATCAAATGAACATATTTCACAATAATG